TCTTCTTCTTCTTCTTCTTCTTCTTCTTCTTCTTCTTCTTCTTCTTCTTCTTCTTCTTCTTCTTCTTCCTTTAATAGCTTCTAGGTCTCCTGAGATGGAGACAAAGTTTCAAAGCATTGTGGATCACACTTATGCAAAGCAAATAAAGTTATATTTAAAAAAATCATTCCTCTGTTGGTTTGATTGCCTTTTCCCAGCTCTGGTCAGGCCTCTATAGTTTTGCTTTTTTTGTTTTGTCTTTTTCTCAATGCAGAATTTTGATGATTTGCTTGAAGACCAGAACTGGCTGGCACAGCCATACTTTGAATTCCAGAGTTGAAAGGTTGTCCGATTTCATCTCCTGGTATTTCAGGAAATTCTCAATTATCCTGGCCACGTCTCCATTCAGCTTTTGCTAAAACAAATCCCTTTTTAAAACAAAAAACAAAAAAACACACTTTCTTCTGAGCCACATTGGTTCCTTAATTTCTGTATTGTGTTTCCGATTGGGGTGGTCTGGTGACCCCAGAGGGCTCAATTGTTTCCACACCAGGATCTTTTCATTGAAAACATATTTTCTCTTGACTGAGAAAACCACCAAGCTCAGAGAGGACAAAGGACTAGATAAGAAGCAACCTAGAACTAAGGAGGAATTTCCTGACAGTTAGAACAATTGACCAGTGGAACAACCTGCCTCCAGAAGCGGTGAATGCTCCAACGCTGGAAGTTTTTAAGAAGAGACTGGACAGCCATTTGTCCGAAATGGCGTAGGGCCGTGGTGGCGAACCTATGGCACGCGTGCCACAGCTGGCACGCAGAGCCCTCTCTGTGGGCACGCGCACCGTCACCCCAGTCCTAGGCCTTCAGCTTGGTTTTATAAACCCTTTTCGTTTTAGGTCTCTGCGGCTGTGTGCAAAAAAAAAAAAAAGTTCAGTCAATCAATTTCAACTTCTCACAGAAAAAAAAGATCTGCAAAGTTGGAATTGATTGATTGAACTTTTTAGTCCCACCCAGTCTGCCGTTACCACAACAGCCATGCCCACCCAATGGGCCACACTCACCCAATGGGCCACACTCACCCAATGAGCCACGCCCACCTGGCATCCGACGATACATAAGTATAGGGTTTCCTGCCTGAGCAGGGGATTGGATTAGATGACCTCCAGGGTCCCTTCCAACTTTATTATTATTATTATTATTATTATTATTATTATTATTATTATTATTATTATTATTATTATTATTCACTGTCAGGAACTTTCTCATTAATTCCAGGTTGCTTCTCTCTTTGATCAGTTTCCAACCATTGTTTCTCATCCTTCCCTCTGGTGCTTTGCTGAACTACCGGGCCCCCTCTTCTTTGCGGCAGCCCCCCAGATACTGGAACACTGCTATCCTGTCTCCCCTATTTCTTCTTTCCTTTAGACTAGCCAAACCCAAGTCCTGCAGCCGTTCTTCGTATGTTTTAGCCTCCAGGCCTTGGATCATCTTAGTTGCTCTTCTTCTCTGAACTTTTTCCAAACTCTCAATATCCTTTTTGTAGTATGGTGACCAAAATTGGCTGGAGTGCTCCAGGTGTGGTTTTACTAGGGTTTTATAAAGCGGTACTAATACTTCGCGTGATCTTGATTCTATGCCTCTCTTTATGCAACCCAGGATTGCATTAGCTCAGGGGCTAGTGATACCAGGGAAAACAAGGCGACATCTGGAGGAAAAACCCGCTTGCAAGCAGTATATTAAAACCACTATTCATTACTCCTCCTCCCAGGGTCCCTTTGAATCCCAGCCAATCCACAGGTGGCGTAGTGTTTTGGTAACTGGCTCCTTTGGCACACTCTTCAAGGTCTCTCTCTGGCTCCAGGCAGCAAAACCGTCTCCTAGATAAGGGTGATGCATTCCTTCTCCTGGGGGGGGGGGGGAAGGATGTAGTAGCAAGACATTGCAAAGCATCCCCAAAGCATTCCCACTCCCAACAGAATGGCAGGCCCCAAAGAATGGTTACGAAAACACGTATACTGTAAAGGGGGGAAACAATACATTTATTTGAGGACCTGACAGCCACCCAGACTGGAGATTTGGGACAATTTCTAGCATTTTTAGAAGGCACTAGATTGAAGAAAGAAGCCCTATACCAGGGGTAGGCAACCTTGGCTCTTTTATGACTGGTGGACTTCAACTCCCAGAATTCCTGAGCCAGCCATGCTGAGGAGAAATGGAGAGGTTTCCAAGCTCAGCCATGCCGGCTCAGGAATTCTGGGAGTTGAAGTCCAGACAGACAGACAGACAGACAGACCTAGATCAGGGATAGGCAACCTTGGCTCTTTTATGACTCGTGGACTTCAACTCCCAGAATTCCTGAGCCAGCCATGCTGAGGGGAAAGGGAGCGGTTTCCATGCTGAGCCAGGTCGGCTCAGGAATTCTGGGAGTTGAAGTCCACGAGTCATAAAAAAGCCAAGGTTGCTTACTCCTGCCTTAGCTTAACCATGAATTTGAAGCGGGAAAGGAATGTCTGTCAACTTTCCAAACGAAATTAGCTGAGGCCATTTTCTCTTCCTTTTCGGTTGCCACAGAATTGGGAGGGGGGGATGAGTGTTTTATCTTAGATATAACCATAAGTTGTTCCCTGGGAACCAAGGTCATTGCTAACTGCATTTTGGCAGGCTGTAGTCTCCGTGGCAATTGGTTAATTGAGGAATGTTATTTATGACTCACTGTTGGGGTGGGAAGTTTGTAACTTTGTAACCTTTTGGGGGGGTGTTTCAGTTTTGGGTTCGTGCTGTTATTAGGTAGCCCAATAAAAATGTTCTTTAAAAGGAACTCCTCATCTCTCGGAACCATGACAACGTCATTGTGCCTTAATAAATCTTCTTTCTTCCTCTCTCTCCTAGTCCATCGATCCTGGGCAACAGTTTACTTGGGAACACTCCAACCTCGAGGTGAATAAGCCCAAAAACCGCTACGCCAACGTCATCGCCTACGATCATTCTCGCGTCATCCTCCTCCCGATCGAAGGTACCGAGGAAATTGGCGAGGGAGGGGAAATGGGTTGTGGGTTGACCTCCTGAAAAGCGGAGAGTCCCATTATGGGGTTTTGGTTTTTTTGCAGTCAAGAATTTGCTGTACAAAGCTTAGATGAGCTCAAGAGGGCTTGCTGGTCTTCTCATCCGCCATGTTTAAACTACAATGATCCTTGGTGTAGGATAGCGTTGAGAGGGAGGAGATGGGAAGAGCTTGAGGCTTGGACGGTTGTGAGTTTGTATTCTTTACCACTGTATCATCCTGGTTCTGAGGGTTCATACTTTCCTCCACTAAAATTTCATCCTAGGAATAACGAGGTTGCAGCTGACTGTCTCTTGACTTGGCTGCAGGTCAACGTTCCACTTTCCCATTATATACTAATCCTTTTACGGCTTGCTGACCTCTTAGCTTCTTAACAGAACATCAGAGTTGGAAGGGACCTAGGAGGTCTTCTAGTCCAGGGCTTTTCAACCAGTGGTACGGGTACCACCTGTGGTACATTGGCACCTGGCAGGTACATTGGCACCTGGCAGGTGGTACGCGACCATCCTAGAAAAGTGGTAGCGGGGGAGGGGAATGAGCTGAACCGGTGGCAGCACCGCACAAGCCTGAGCGAGAGACGGCTGGAGCTGCAGGGCTGTCAGGGCTCAGCGGAAGCGCCAGGATCAGCGTCAGACTCCAGCTGGAGCTCGGCGCTGATCCTGGTGCTTCTGCTGAGCCGATCAGCTGGAATGTTGCAGCCTCTCCAGGGTCTTGTGATTTACATTCAGATGCTTGGCAACTGATTCATATTTATGACGGTCACAGTGTCCCAGGGTCATGTGAAGTGACCAAAACCTGCTGCAACCACCCAGCAGACGGGGGGAATAAAAACCAAACACCCCCCACCCCACCCCCGCTGCCAATCCCCAACAGAAATGCTCACAACAATGGAAACCTCGGACAGGAGGAAGAGCGCCACCGGGTGGGCAGGCAGGTGTCAAATGGACAAATGGCTGTCCAATCTCTTTTGAAAAACCTCCAGTGATGGAGCCACCCACAACTTCTGGTGGCAAGCCGTTCCACTGATTAATTATTCTCACTGTTTAGGAAATTCCTCCTCATTTCTAGGTTGTTTCTCTCTTTGATGAGTTTCCATCCGTTGCTTCTTGTCCTGCCTTCAGCTGCGTTAGAGAGTAAGTTGACCCCCTCCTCTTTGTGGCAGCCTCTCAAATATTGAGCTATCTTACTAACTATCATGGGGGGGGTTGGACTACTGTAGATGACTTCCAAGGTCCCTTCAGACAAATGGTTGTCCAATCTCTTCTTGAAAAACCCTCCAGTGATGGAACACCCACAATTGTTCTCAGAAAATTTCTCCATAGTTCTAGCGTGGCTCTCTCCTTGATTAGTTTCTTCCACAGCTCAACGCTCATCCATCCTTCCTATTTTGAACCATTACAGTGGGACCTTTCTGAGGCCAACGTTGAACCAAATTTAGGAGGAAAATTTTGAGTCATTGAACAGATTCAAGACCGAGTGCTTTCACTTTAGGGCAGTGGTTCTCAACCTATGGGTCGGGACCCCATTTGGGGTCGATCGACCATTTCATGGGGGTCGCCAAGCAAGGCTGTCCGCCATTTTTTTTTGTCCGCCATTTTTTCCCCCTTTTCCAGCGGGTGCCTTACCTCCCTTGGGCTGGGCCAGCTGGTGGTCGGCCTGCTCCGTCTCTGCCGCTTGCCAACTACGCCTCGGCCGGCGCAGGGGGCGGAACCACACATGCGCGGCGCTCCCGGGCAGGGAAAGTCCTCGACTTACGACCAGTTGGGTAGTCCTTGACTTACGACCGGTTTAGTCCTCGACTTACGACCGGTTTAGTCCTCAACTTACGACCGGTTGGGGTCGCGGCATTAAAAAGGTTGAGAACCACTGCTTTAGGGAGTCAGCGTGGTTCTGCAGTGATAAATCTCTTGGACAGACGCAGGATAATCAGAAATGTATTTCGGCATCCTTCCATAATGTCTTTTGGCTTTGACTACACCGGCTGAGAATCCTAGAAATTGAAGTCCTATAGGTTAGGAAAGGCTGGGAATAGCTTTAATAATAATAATGATAAAGTTGGAAGCGACCTTGGAGGTCATCTAGTCCAACCCCCTGCTCAGGCAGGAAACCCTATACCATTTCGGACAAATGGCTGTCCAGTTTCTTCTGGAGGCAGGTTGTTCTGGAGGCAGGTTGTTCCACTGGTTAATTGTTCTGACTGTCAGGAAGTTTCTCCTTAGTTCTAGGTTGCTTCTCTCCTTGATTGGTTTCCATCCGTTGCTTCTTGTCCTGCCTTCAGGGGCTTTGGAGAATAGCTTGACTCCCTCTTCTTTGGGGCAGCCCCTGAGATACTGGAAGGCTGCTATCCTGTCCCTCCTCGTCCTTCTCTTCGTTAAACTGGACATCCCCAATTCCAGCAACCGTTCCTTATATGCTTTAGCCTCCAGTCCCCTGATCATCTTTGTTGCTCTTCTCTGTACTCTTTCTAGAGTCTCAGCATCTTTTTTACATCGTGGAGTACTGGATGCAGTACTCCAAGTGTGGCCTTGCCAAGGCCTTATAAAGTGGTATTAATACTTCACGTGATCTTGATTCTATCCCTCTGTTAATGCAGCCTAGCAATGGTTGTGATTGTTTTGTTCTTGGTGATTGTTTTGTGGTCCTTCAAGTCCTTCTTAACTCCATGTGGAGTTAAGGTCCATGTGGTTTCCTTGGCAACATTTTTAGAAGTGGCTTGCTACAAATAGCTTCTTCCAGCAATGAGAGGGAGGGTGTGTTTAAGGTTGCGCAGCTTCCAAATTCTCCAGTACTGGCTGGGGACCCCAAGTCTTTCCTACTTACTACCTTGAGGAACAAGACCATAACTGGCAATCTGGAATCACCCAACCCCGTTCCTGCTCCTAAATAGCTTCAACAACAGAGGTCTTCAAACTTGGCCACTTTAAGACTTGTGGACTCCAACTCCCAGAATTCCTCAGCCAGCCCTGAGGGCTGGCTGAGGAATTCTGGGAGTTGGAGTCCACAAGTCTTAAAGTGGCCAAGTTTGAAGACCCCTGCTCAACAACAATCAGATGGGTTCTTCCTCTTCAATAGATTCTCCTTAATGCCGAAGCATCCCCCTTTATAGATTATTTTCTGCCTCTTGACTGTTGTCTTTTCCTCTTGGTTAAGCGGTAACCACTTAGGAGGGACGTCTTTTTTTCAGACTGCAGCCAGAGCTGTTGGAAGGGACTGTAAATGCTTTAATGGCTATTCTCCCACTCTGAAAAGAAATAAATTAATCAGTTTGGCTTAACGGGGTTCCATTGGGGATTCGCTGGAGGATGAATGAGTTTGACGTTTTTCCAAAACCCAATGGCTTTCCCTGATCAAACTTCTTAGCGAGAATGAGGGCAGGATGCAGGAAGAGAATATGTGGTAGTGGTGGTGGTGATGATGATGATGATGATGATACGAGGAAGGAGGAGGAGGAAGAGGGAGAAGAAGAAAAAGAAAGAAGAAGG